GATTTAGATTCCTGGCTGAAATTACTTCTGTGTTCTAGCTGAATGTCAGATTCCTGCCTGAAACCCACTTCCTTGTCCTTGGCCAATGTCATATTCCTGCCAACTAGCCCATTTTCTTGTCCTTGGCCCATGTCAGATTCTTGCCAAGCAGTCGCAAAAGCTCTCAACATCTCCCCTTTTTTATTTCATAAACAAGACTGAGCCTGTCTTAGGTCATTCTGACAAGAATGCCTTCCTTACCAGTCATGGAGTATGCATTATCAAAAGCAATGCATTTATGTCTTAGGTTGGTAAGGCTCCATGCAGGATCTTACCCATCCCTGGCTTGTCAGCCTGTTAAATTAATAACTCTGTCTAGGGGTCCATTTTCAGGTTCAAGCCATGTACTTGGCTGCCAATATGTTAATGTTGTTAAAGACAAGCTTTGACATGATGGGTGGGAATAAAAGTATTCCCAGGACAAAGAGGGCTAGCATGATCAAGCTATATATGTGATTCTTGAAGCTTGACCAAAATAGAAATACTGACTTCAGGCCATGGGCAATTTTATCAGCAGTATCTACCACATCAATGTTCAGGAAACCAGCATTCTTTAAATTTATAAGCTCACTATGCAAAGTTAAAACATCCAGAGATGTCTTATAATTATGCCCAAATACACTGCAAGTGTCTTTAAACTTTTCTCTAATTATAATGAGTACCACTGTAAATTTTAGAACTAACATGAATCCAATGGTATTTGGCATGAGCCTTGAGATGGCTCCTTCTTACTCTTAATCTCTGACTCTTCTTTCGTTAATTTGAATAGAATAAAGAGCATCTAGCAGTTCTTCCAAATGCCTATCTAAATCTTCTTGTATATTCAACACATTACTAACATTTTTTGCTAAATGATTAACAAAAGTAGCTGTCTTAACTTCTTGTGCCAACGCAATTGCAGAAGCATTGGTACTAGCAATTAATGTAATTAAAGTTGTTTTATCAGCAATAACATCCTGAGTGAGGTAACCCAATCACAAAAGAACGTACATGGTATGTACTCACTGATAAGTGGATATTAGCCCCAAATCTCACAATTCCCAAGGCATAACTCTCAGACCACATGAAGCCCAAGAAGATGAAAGACCAAAGTGTAGGCACTTCTGTCCTTCTTAGAAGGAGTAACAAAATACTCACAGGAGCAAATAGGAGACAATATGTGGAGCCATGACTGGAGGAGGGACCGTCCAGAGACTGCCCCACCTGTTGTGGATGTCCAAAAGTTCATGCTGACAGGAGCCTGATACACCTGTCTCCTGAGAGGGACTATCAGAGCCTGACATATACAGAGGTGGATGCTAACAGCTATCCATCGAACTGATCACAGGGTCCCCAGTGGAGGAGTTAGAAAGAAGACTGAAGGAGTTGAAAGGTCTTGTGGCCCCATGGAGAGAGTGACAATACCAACCAACCAGAGCACCCAGCGTCTAAACAGCTAGCCTGGGAACACACATGGAGGGAGGGACACATGTTTCCAGCTGTACATGTAATAGAGGATGGCCTTGTCAGGCATCAGTGGGAGAGGAGGGCCTTGATCCTTTGAAGGCTATATGCTCCAGCAAAGGGGAATTCGAGTGTGGGGAAGTGGGAGTGGGTGGATGGGTAGAGGCACATCCTCATAGAAATAGTAGGAGGGAGGATAAGGTAAGGGGTTTGGGGAGGGGGGAGGGTGGTAATGGGGAAAGGGAATAATATCTGAAATTTAGATAAATAAAATATCCAATTATAAAAAACACTCACATTCTTAATAAATCTCATACTAAAGACAGTGTCTATTGAGAATAATCCTCAGAAAACAAAGAAATAATATTACTTGAAGCAACTGAAGACATAGGGAGAGAAAGTCCAAAGAAAAAAAATGGTGGAAGATTTAATTGAGCCAATGGAAGGAAATAGTCATAGCTTATAAAAATTAAAATATGAGTCAATTAATAAATGAGGAGAAAAAATGAGACAAGAAACATTGCCATAGTCTACCTTATTAATTGTCCATGAGCTGTGTTTATTTACATGGTCATGAAATTATAAACGCTCAGTATTGACATAACTGAAGTTTCAGAAATAGCCTTTTTGGAAGCATTAGTGTGAAGAAGTGGGTGGGTGTGGATAATGTCTAAAAATGATAAATCAGAAAATAGCAGTTTTAGACTTTTTTTTCTGTAAATGGAGGGAAGACAGAAAACGTTTAGAGACCTGCTTGTGGTTGCCTCTAGAGGACTGCAAGGAAGACCATGGGAGGCTTCACCATAGGAGTTTCAAACTATTTGATGTATAGATGTACAGTTTAGTCAAAAATGAGTCTTACAAAGACAAACGGTACCAGGAAAACCTCAGTTTTTATATCTGACCAGCAAATGTCCAATTTTCTTATTAACTTCTAAATTGAGTGTAAAATCTGGCTTTGGAGCTCTGAACCATTTCAACCTGTGTGGAAACTTGGCAGGGAGATGACCATGGCCCTGTAGACGTGGAAGGACATTACTTTCTGGGCCCACAAACAGGCACCTTCTTGCTTATGATGGAGTCGGAACTACATGAGGCCTCTTTTGTCCTGTGTCGTGGAAGCCACGGCACTCGTTCTACTGCTGTAGGGGCTCAGTGAAACTGTGACCAAAGCAAGCATAGAACCACGACCATGGAAAAAAACAAAGGAAATGGGAAGACACTGCATAATTTGTGGTCTCTAAAATGCTCCAGCATTAATGAAAGTTTGTTTTAAGAAGTAATTTATGTCAGCTTTGTGTAGTTCAGGTCAATTCATGAAAAGGTAAATTCCCTCTGCCAGGAAGAAGAGAAGAAATGTATAAACTGTAAGTTTATATTACCATTGGAAATGAGAACACAGAAATCCGTTATTAAAAGCCCGATCACTCACAAATTTACCCTGGCTAGCTGGAAGCTGTGGCCCTGAGTCAGGCTCCTCTTTTAGAAGACTGGTTCCATTACCTTCAGCCTGTAGACAGTAGGGGCTTAGTCAAGCCAGAGTCACAATGTCGGCTTTTGGAGCCGCCCAAGCCGTCGTTTCAGTTTTTATAAGTGGCGACTGGCCACTGGTCTCCATGTGTAGCTCCTTTGAGATGAAAGGCACAGGACCCCAGGGCAGGTCCCTCTTAGGGCTGAGACTAGTCTAGACTTAAATGAGGTCTGTACTCCAGTGACTTCTAGAACTCCCCAACTTTTTGAAACTAACATGCTTAGTTTCTGTGGAATTAGTGTTTCCAAACCAAATTTTAAAATAAACATAGATTGCAAATTGTCTGTAAATCTTAAACTGCCTTAATAAGTAATTTTAAAAAAACCCTAAATGAGTCAACCTAAGAAAAGGACTGTAGCCTTTTTGCAATAGGGCAAAACATTGTCTAGAATTATTACAGAATTTGGAAGTGAGTTACATATTATATTCTTTTTTGTTTGTTTGTTTTTGTTTTACATATTATATTCTAACTTGATACCCTAAAAAGCAGTTCAGAAAAGTAATCTTGGAAAAACTATTTCACCTCTCACCTCTGTTTATATTGCTAGAAAAAGAAAACTTAGCATTCGTGGTTTGTATTTTGAAGGACCGTTTTATCAGAGCTTATATCTTTTAGATGAAAATAAACTGTCCATAGAAAAACATAATAAAATGACTATATTAATGGTTTAAGGTCCACCTGGTTAACTGTGCACAGTTCCTTTTTAAGTAATCTGCCCTATACTTACAGGCTCCAGTACCAACAATATGTGGCATGAGGGATGTTGGACATACTGATAAGAGAAGAACAGAGGTTTCTTGTCCATCAAAGGATTATGTATTCCATGGAAGCATAATATATCTGCCTCTTTTATTTGCTTACTTTATGAAATGAGGCTCTGGTTTTGCATGTTGACCAATTAAGCACTAGATATTTGTAAATGATTGAGCTCTGGTTATTGTAATTTGACAAAAGACTTTCTAGTCACTCCCTAGAAAGCATCAAAAAAAGTTTGCAATTGACTGTCTCTTTGAAATTTCTTTGTGTAATCGCTTGAGTGTATATGAGAGGCTTCTATGGAAACTTTGAGATCGGATTTGGAGGAAAGATGTCTTTGTATCAGGAGTACAATGTTCAAAAGTTCTGAGAGAGGCCTGGTCTTTGTAAAGGAAAGCCCCAGGGAGAGGGAGAGTGATGGCCTCTGGCAGGTGTCTGGATCTTACTCTAAATTCACCAGAAAGCATGAAGATGGATGGGCTGTCCAGGAGCGGGGTGTACTTTATGTTTACTTTTTAGGAAGGTCATTCTAATGAGAATGACTCAGGAGCAAGATAAAAGTAGCTTGAGAGGAAATGGCAGCCTGGGCTGGGGAGATAGAAGAATCATAAGGTCTGACTCTTAAGTGAGGTAGATGGGCCGGGGGAAGGAAAGCAGACTCTGAAAGCCTGAGCAGGGTGAGAATATTGGTTCTAAGACAGAGTCTTGTTATATTAATTGTATTATTATTATTATTATTATTATTATTAATTATATTGGTTTCTAAGAGTAGTTGCTGAGCAGGGATCTATGAGCTGAAACCTGGAGGTACCAGTTCACATGAACAGTGAGATTCTGGTCTTAAGCTTTGAGGGAAGATTAAAAAAAAAAATTAACCTAGTTTCTAGGTCTACTGCTAGTAGTCCAGGGGATGTAACAGGGAGGATTCCCTGAAAGGATGCCTTCAAAATTTCTCCCTGTAAATACTTTGTGCTTGCTTGTATCATTGTATTCTGACAAAGCTAACATCTTCCACTCTTGGGTACAAATTTTAAAAATTCGATTTTAAAATCTAGTGTGTGTTTTGAAAATATACTCATTTTTATGTATGCTAAATGTCTGCTAGCCCATGTAAAGTTTAATTATATACAAATCAAATTAAATCCCATGCCTAATTAACTAATTTCTACAAGATTAGTCCTTTGGCTCAAGTTTTATGTTTACATTGGTTTATTTTTCTCTTTCTTTTAGCCTTGCCAGCATTTACCAAAAGAACCATTACCCCAGATCCAGCTTCAATCAAGGGAGATGCCACAAGTTCACCAGCGAATGGAACAAGTCCACAGTCCAAGAGGGAGGAACATGAGAGCAAAAAATACAAAATGTGATTAGTAACTTCACTTGAGTATTTCACAAGTAACAGCCGATGGCCCTTGCTGCCACTGGGCTCAGATTATCTAAAGACAGCATATGGCTTCAGCTACTTGGAACTGCCAAGCGTTGACTAGCATGACGTTATAGCCAGTCTTTGTGAGTGAGAGTAAATTTAACCTGTGGAGGTAATATCAGCTTATGAATGGTATATAACTCATTTAAAGGCAACTCATACTGGCAGAGAAAGTGATTGTTTTTACTTTATATTTTCCTATTTCTCAGTGTCACAATTTTCCAACCCAACCTTGAATTGATAATTGATGCCTTTCTGAGATGACTGGCTACCAGGAGGAGAAGGGTTCCCTTCAGGCAAAGGGTTCCAGCAGTTTAGTTCAGGCACATTTGTACACAGTGGATTCATAAGTGCTTTCTCCCTAATCAATTATCATGTGTTGTAACTTGTCGTGGAGATAGATGCCTGTGGAATATTAGACTGCCTTTTAAATGCTCAGTGCCATTCACCTGTCATCTCAGCAGTCTCTTACTACATGAAGTATCTTCAAACTATCCCAATTATCAATTTAATTGCAAAACAATTTCTACCTGATAGCTGAATCATAGAGCATCATAAAGAATTCATAACATCATTTATATATTTGTCTTCTTGTGTCCAATTGTCCCACTGTGATCATCCTGGTCATACCCTGGATGGTCTTTGGTTTGCTCTGACCTCTGATCCCAGCACTCCTCTCCTGGGTCAGTGGGATCCACTCTGTAGGAATCCTTATATCCTTTGGTACTACCTGACTGCTTTCCACATCCCAGCCTTTTCAATGTCAACGTGCTTTTAAAACCTTACCGCTCTGCCGTGCCCATCTACCACTGACTACTAAATAATGGTCATCATCCCGAAACTGAGTCCTACTGGGCCATGGTGGAAAGACCTGCAGAGAAGCAGGAACAATAAAGCAATTCCTTTGTAAGAACATTGCATGCTATGTCTGTTAAGATACACTTGTTTATTCCATGTCTCACATTTCATGAAAGTGGTGTATTTTCATTCCAAATGTTTTATTAACTTGCCATAACACTTGAGGGGGTAGAAGAAATGACTCTCTCCCCTCACTTCCACCCCATGAACATGAATGCAGTTCTTGCAACAGAACATGGAGTTGATACACATCAAAGAATTTCCACATGCTGCATAAGCTCCGAGACCACTTCCTCAGTGAGGCGCCTTGCTCTTGAGGACCTTGTGTCAGTGATAAGAAAAGTATTAAAGCAGGTGTGCCTATGCTAAAGCATACATGGTCTTATAAAGTCCATGGGAAAGGGAGTGATGTGTTTAGGCCAGCTAGAAATAAATCTGAGTTTAACAGGCTTGGTTTTGTCTTCTCTAAGCCCAGAGGTTGTCAGTATTCTGAGGAGTATTCTAAGGAGGAACTAGATGAAAGGAGTAGCTCACATTCTTGCTGTCTGCTGTGACCTATAACATCTAAGATAAGTACTTGTACTAATTTTTGACTAACAGTACATTTTTAACCATTTTCTTTTCATCTTTGGAAGGTCCACATATTTCTACAATGTACATTGAGATTGTATCCATCCACAACTATCTCCCTCACAACCCCCTAGTGGTCCCTGTCACATCCACCTCCCAGTTTCACATCCTACATATGCAAGTTGGTGTGTGGCCATCTGCCAAGACATGAATAACTGCCAGTGGCTAGATCTCAAAGGAGAATAATCCTCCCTTCCTTTCTCCCTCCCTCCCTCCCTCCCTCCCTCCCTCCCTCCCTCCCTCCCTCTCTTCTTCCCTTCCTCCCTCAGTTGCCAATTGCTCTTCAAATAGGAAGGGAGCTTCTAGGCCTCTCCCCAATCCATACTGTACTTTTGACTGACTTGATATTATACAGGTTTTAGGGTTTGTTTTTTTTTTCAGGTCCACATAGCTGCTGTGAGTCGGTGCATACAACACTGATACATCAAGAAGCCAGCATCTCACTGCATTTTGTCCATCCTTCAGCTCTTACATTCTTTCTGTTCCTTCCCAGAAGCCTTGGATGGGGGATGCTGACATAGCTGAGCACTCAGAGTTATTTACACTATGTACTATGACCTGTTAGGAGTCTCTTTGTTAACCACTACCCATTGCAGAAAAGGTGGGGGTGGGGGGAGAGTGAGGATTCTCTGACCAAAGTTAAGAGCAACATAACTCGTTGGGTATGAATGTAAACATTTAGTAAACAAAATGTAGTTTGACAGCATGGTCATTGAGTGACAACAGTAGGGTCCCCTTCAGCCCAGTGACTTTCCCAGCCATATATTTTTTTTTAATCAGGCACGCAATACCCCCTATAGAACAGGCTAACATCATTGGTATTTTTTTTCCTCCAGCATCCTGCATAGTACCTTCCAGCACTCTATACATTAGTCAGCAGTAAGTGTTCTTGTCAGTTTGAGAGTGATTTTTCTCTGTCCTCCATGACAGTAAGTCAGACCTTCAGCAATGGGATCTTTCCATCTAGTTATGGTGAACAGAAAAGAAAATGATAATAATATAGAGTATCACTCTATTTTATTTCCTTAGAACTAAATAACAGTGAGCAAAATAATGCTAGCCCTCATTTAAATCCTAAAGGCAAAGGTTTAAAATCATTTCCCTTCATGTACAAGCCGAGACGGGATGCTCTCCATAAGTAAAGGAATGTTCTGAACTTAGGAAGCTGATCCGAACCATTGTTAGTACATTTATGGTAACACAAAAGTTACAGTAGGATAGTTAGACCTGGGAGTTGGAGGGAAATCAGACCATTGATTCAGAAAATCCTTTAAAGCTTATGATTTTATAGCCAAATAGAGCTCTTGTAGAAGAACTTCTAAACAGAAAAAATGAAGGCAAGAATATTATTCAGTGCCCTATGCTGCTGTTGGATGAATGAAGGTATCTGACTTTGAATATGGATCCCACCAGAACTTCATTGGCAAAGTCAACTTTTCATAAGCAGTAATTTGTCAAAATTCCTTGGCCGTCTATTTTTATGGACTTAAATCCAAGGCCCTGTCTCCTCTCAAGATTTTTAGTATCTCTGAGCTTCAGTTGAAAAGAAGATTTCAAGAGAAATGCTAAGGAAACAATCTGATTTTACATCCCAGACCCAGGGACACCTTTCTCTTCTCTCCTTTGGCAGGGTATCTTGGATTAAATGTGACAAGAGCCTCACTTGAATCGTAGTAGGTCAGCCATACTGCTGGGAACGTGGGGACTGTGGAAGGGTTCAGCCTTCTGCAGTGCACCTGGTCCAAAAGCTTAATTTGAACATTGACCTTTTTGGTTTAATAATTTTGACTCTTCTGGCCATCTTTCTCCTTAAACACACTAAACTTCAATTGAAGTTCCCACAGAGGGGAAGAAACACAGCTGGGAGAATTCTGGCTTGCTGTTTTTCCTATTGGCTAAGGTCATATTATTCCCTTGACCAGTGTCTGACTTGAAGGTTGGAAACCAATTGGTTATATAACATTTTATGCACCCAGTTTCCCAGAACTAACCTTATTCTTAGTATAGCTTATTTATGTTGCCAGCAGAGAGATAAAGCTGATAGCATAATAACGCAGTGTATGGGATCGTTTAAAGGTTACTCATCTAAAAAGTACATAGCCACTTAAGCCTTTTTCCTCATGCCTACAGTAGATACATGTGTATAGTTTAAAATCCCAACTCAGTGTTATTCAGTTGATATTTAGAGTTACAGAGATTGTTACCCTTCTTGCCTAATCTGTGGTGAATCTCATAGTTTAAATAATGTAGTGTTTTAACTGGGACCAAATTCTTACATATAATGAGACTGCTTACTTAGCAAACTGTTTTCCATGTACGTCCTTTTCCCTGGGACTTGGGAGTATTAGAAACATAGCTATACATCACATGTTAGCAAGGAACATGAATGAACGCTGAGTAAGATTCCTTTTTGAAATTCTTATGCCCCACCCCAAGAAAATTGTCCCAATATTTTTTCCCATTTTAGACAAAAAACCAAGCAAAATTTGTGATTTTCATGGCTTTCAAAGGAGGGAGCAGTTCTCACAAAAGCATCTGGCTTTCTTGGATCAAAAGTAAAGCATGAGACTAAAGCTGGAAGCAAATCGAAGAGTTTGTATATAAAGGCATTCCACACTCCAGAGTATGATATAAAAATAGTTACATCTTTCAACTTTCGAGTTTTCAAATGTTTAGCAATAGAAAAATATCAACTTATTGCTATTTGAGGAAAGAGATCTAAACCCTGAAAGGTCTCACTTAGCCTCATTCCCATAGAAACACAACACATTCAGTTTAAGGGTAGGAAAAATGCATATATGAGAAGCAGGACTTTGGATTCCAAGCCCCCAGCTGCATTGCAGAGAGGCCACCCTTGCTTTTGATTGGAAGCAAAGTAAACCAGCCTGCACAGCCTGGAAAAACCAGCTCCATGCCCTCTCCAACGTGCCTTGCCCCATCTGAACTCCTGTTATATCTGTACCCATCTCTAATCCAAGCCCAATGCAGCTCTTACTACTTTAACTAAGCAAATTTGCCTCTGATATCTCCTAGCCATATGTTCCACATGGAGGAGTTGATGGAGACATGGGTTGTAGCACCTCAGTTTCTTATACACTCAATTTGTATATATCCCATATGCATACTTAGGGAGATAAGAGGTCCATGGCTGGTGTCTTTCTCAATTGCTTCTCCACCTCATTTTTTGGAAGCAGGCTTTCTTATTTAACCTTGAGCTCACTGATGCTTCTAGACTAGCTGGCCAGAAAAGCCAGGGGATCTGCTTGTCTACTGTCCCAGACTTGGCATTACAGGTTGCTGGGATCAAAGTAAAGACCTCTTATGTACAACATATGCACTTTATCTTCTGAGCCCCAGCCCCTAAGGAAGTTTTTCTATGGTTTTGAAACCACACATTTTCGAGTGCTCTTGTTGTGGAAACCTTAGGAATATACAGTAGCTGGCAATCCTTTCTTTCCTAGTACAGCTCACCATAGACTTAATTGTAAAGCCCTGTGGCACTTGTGAACACAAAGCTTCCCACCTTTGATTTTGTTCAGTTGTGTCCTACAATGGATGCTTTGTTTTCCTCTCAACATAACATAGCCATCTGCACATTGTGTTTATTTGTACATCAAGTATCAGAGAACATATTAATAGTGCTTTCATTGCCTTATAGCCAAAAGAACGGGTACAAAATATGGGAAGAGCTGCAGGTGAGACTTAAATTTTCAATTTTGGAATAGATGCCCTCTGTAAATTTTTCTCTTTCTCTGATCATCCTGTATAACTCTTACTCAGTGTTATCCCTAGGATTGTGGCAATGCTTGTTTTTTCATATTTTGCTAAGCAGTTAGCTGGCTAAGACACTGAAGGATGTCAGAACCAGTGCCATATGAGGTAAACAGGAACCTGGGTTGCCTTCAACAACATACATTTTTGAACTGTTTGTTGATCAGGAAATAAACTGGCTCTGAAGAAGGGTCTTGGGTGTGGAACATTGTGAAGAGGAGACCCATTGAATTGAGTGTATACTGCAAAATTTATATTTGGTCAGTGCTGCACTAATCTGGAATGCTATTTCTATACCTCTTTCTGGCTGCTTGGATCTGGATGTAAAGTAGACTTCTTCCTAATAATTTTTCGTCTGAGTGTCTCATGCCTCTCTGTCACTTTGGACTTTTATTTTATTTATGCTACCATTAATCTTACTGTGAGTGAGGGTTCATGCTTGATGGATGACTTACCATTTTAAGAACTTCCCATTCCAGTGAACCTCAAGCTGTCAGTCACCAGAAGTAAAGCAGCCATAGTGGCAGAGCCATCTACTAAGGTGGCTTTGAAAGGGTGGGTGTTAAAAGAGATTTGGAGCAACCTAGGAGCTTTGATGCCTTTTTATTCTCCTGGGCTACATAGATGTATCAGTTCTAACAAGGTACTTCCTGC